TAAGAGGGTTCATAGGAGGCTCCGTCAAGAGGATCTTCTGGCCCGTAGGATCGACCTTGAGCTTCTCGTAGAAGGTATAATCCCACAGATGTTCCATATCGTCCCACTTCTTAACGATACCGTTCTCCATGGGGTAGCTGATCTGGAGCATTGTCCTCGCGGCGGCAGCTTCGTCACCGCACATGATATCCTTGATGACAACATCGCTATCGGTCTGCTCCTCGGAACGAAGGATCGGTCGGCCTACGATGGAGGGGTATTGATGTTCGGGGAAGTTCTGCGCGGCATATCCGACCTTGAGGAAACCGGTACCTCCGTCGAGGACTAAGCGGTAGAGGTTCGAGGTCAGCTTGCGTCAGGGGAGAGGTGGGAGCTTCTGGAGCTTGCGGAGCGAGGATGGGAGCTTACCAATGGGTGGAGGGTTAGACATTATAGTGATGGCCCACGACGGCGGATATGTATTGGGAGGGTTGTGAGGCCGAGGAGGTGTCGTGTTGGTATATGGGAGCTTCAGCTTAGAGGAGGTTGAGGTGGTCGTCAGTAGTGGGGTTCGAGTGGCCGACCGTCGTCAGAGGTGGCTGAGGCGGATCACGTGGCGCCCGCGAGCTGGTTTAGCTTCCGTCATGTAGAAACCCCTCTCAAGATAAGTGAGAGATTTCAGTGTTAGAACAGTTTTAGAGCTTCATCAAGCTATATATATATCACTATATTCATCGTCGAGTCTTTGCATCAGCCATCATGTCCGAGCTCCGTTTCCTCAGGCGGAATCTCCGCATTCTCGTCCTAAACCCAAACTCATCCACTATTATGACTGACGGCATGGCCAACGCTATCCGCCAAATGTCACTCCCAGACGTATGATATACACACAGCTAAAACAAAACAGTCTTCAATTCTACACAGGCTGATGTGTCACAAAAGTCAGTTGAGATCTATACCTACACAGCCCCTCCCCACTCCGCCCCAGACAGCATCAACGACCAGGAGGGCATCGACCGCAGCACGCAGGCCGTCCTCGATGACCCCAAGATCGAGGAGGAGCTTGAGTCGGATAAGTACGACGGCGTTCTCGTTGCGTGTTTCAGCGTTCATTGCTTGGTGTCAAAGTTGACTAGGTATCGACATCTTGCAGTGACTGGGATTTTTGAGGCGAGTATTCTCACGTCTCTTTCGCTCATGGCTGCACCCGATAATGCAGGAAAATGGGGGATCGTCACTACTGGAAAGTGGTGGGAGGACCACTTGTCGCATGGCGTCAAGAACTTTCTTGGGCAGGCGAAGGATGACGTGAATAACAAATTTGCTGGTGTTTTCTCGTCCGGGCTTACGGCGGGTGACTTTCACACTGTTCCTCCGGAGAAGGTAAGGGAGAAGCTCAAGGAGGCAACACGAAAGTTGCTCAATGAGGGACAAGTGTCGGTTGTGCTCATGGGGTGCGGTGGTATGGCTGGTCTGGAGGAGATCATCCGATCGACTGCTATCGAGGAGTACGGCAAGGCTGACGGTAACCTTGTCTACATCGTCGACGGAGTCAAGGCGGGCATCATGCAGTTGGAGCAGATGGTCCGCAGCAAGAAGATCTTTCGGTAAATCAGCAGTCGCCTCGTTCTATCTGTAGAGCCATATCTGCGACTGTCTATTACGCTGCTTGAATACAAATAAAGAAATCACTCCGCGCGTGTACCCCACGCATAATAACAATCGTGAACGTTTAATGACAATAAGTCGAGGCAGCAATTGTCGCAGGCTTCTAATCAACGCGCCTTGTCCTGCCCCAAACCTCATCGACATCCTTCTTGCCCTTTGTTTCTGGCACGTTCCAGAACACAAAGATAGCAGATCCAGCGGCCAGGCCTGCGAAGATAAAGTAAACCCATCCGTGACCGCCCAGCAAGTCGTTAAGAGCTGAGTTTACGATCGGGAAGAATTGAGCGACCAAGAAGGTCGCTGCGTAGTTGGCTGCGAGACACCAACTTTGCGTGGCGCCAACAGCCTCTTGTCCCACCAGCTCAGAGGAGATCAGGAAGGGTACTGGACCCAAACCAACTGCGAAGAAGCCAACGAACGCCACGACGGCGATGGCTGAGAGAATCTTGATTCCAAAGATGATCGAGATGGCCAGAATGAGAGCGCTTGTTCCTTGTCCGATAATCGAGGCAAGGAGGCAAGTCTTGCGACCGAGACGATCTGGGAGAGGAGCGCATGCGATGGTAGTGAACAAGTTGACAACGGAAACGAGAATAGTGAGCAGTGACGAAGAGACGGGCAGCAAATCGGCAAGAAGAGACACGGAGTACATGATGATCGAGTTGACACCACAGAGCTGCTGGGCAAACATGATGCCCACGACGGCGACGATTGCAGGCCTGGTATCAGGATCCTTCAGTACTTCGAAGAATCCAAGATGCTCAGTCCGGTTCTTCGACGGTGATTCGGAGGCACTATCCGCCTGAAGCAAGCCATCTTCCTCGGAAGCATCACGGTCATCTGAGTCCCAGGTCTCAGTCTCCTCATGGATGTCGTAGCCGTTGCCACGAATCATCTGCAGGGTCCGCCTGGCCTTGGGCGCATTTCCCTGCGCCGCCAACCACGATGGACTCTCTGGGACGACGAAGAGACCCAAAGTTTGAGCTGTCGCAATGAAGACTCCAGTAGCGAGGATCCATCTCCAAGCACTGCCGTAGCTCAGGAAGAATCCCATGGTCTGAACCACCAGGATACCAAAGTTGATCGAGATCTGCGTCATAAAGCCAAATAGTCCACGTTCCTTGGGTGGTGCAATCTCGCTGATGTAAAGAGGGACAACGACAGTTGACGCTCCAGCACCAATACCAGCAAACAAGCGACCGAGAGCCATGACGAAGACGCTTCCTGCGACGGTCTCAATAGCTGCTCCGACCAAATAGAGCAGACCCGTGATGCGCATCGCAGGAAGGCGTCCGCGTTTCGACGAGAAGGGTCCAGAGGCCAAAGCTCCCAACAGCCCACCAAGCATGAAGATGGAAGATATCGTCGCAAACGAAGCCTCGTCCATGGGGATACAGTGCGGCATGAAACCAGATCCAGCATCGTCGTCTTTCGGCTTGTAGACCAGTCCTTTGATCTTGTTGAGGGCGGAGATCGATTTCTTGCGGCATGTAATAACATCCTGGGGTGCGTTGAGTTCAGCCTAAGATAGTTAGCTAGCTATTATCACGGCGATCTGAGCAAACGTACCAAGTGAAAACCGAACTGCAACGACCCCAGGGTCGAGATGGCGATGAGCAAGATCAGATACCCGCTGACATCGCGGAGTCTGATACCGGCCATGTTGGCGGTCGGATATTTCGTCGAGAGAATGGGTTGGTGAAGGGGTAAGGTTGAGGGTTCGAGGTGAGGATCTGGGGTAGCTTGAGTTAACGTTAGCTTGTGATGGGGGTGGGTCCACGTGCGCTGTGGCGTGGATTACCCCTGTTTTTGGCCCCCCTGCGTTCATCATGGCAATGGATTGGAATGAGAGTGTCCAAATCCGGGCTATTGGAGTGCAACGAGCCGATTGACCTTTATCTGAGAGTATTTTACGAACTTTTGAACCGAGTCTTTCCAGGGTACTGGTCTCGTATTGATTTGACCAATGTTGAGCTGTGACACGTATGCGTGTTGGTTCCTTATCACAATAGTCTGCCGATTACCCGGAAGCTCAACAGTCATGAGAGTTTGGGTCCTCTAAAGCTTGTTGCAGTTACTTTAAATACGTGCCAAGCCCCAGTCAGTTCCCGTTCCTGTTAACTTTTTCGAGATCTCTGTGATTCGCTGTCGCGAGAAACCATACTTTGTGTAAATATTTGGTCTACGAACTACCCTGAACATGTCTGAGGTACCAATTGACGATGGGAAGCTACTCTACTTTGAGGAGCGCAACACGGACCAGAAAGAATCAATAATATTCTTACATGGTGGTGGAGGCAGCCATATCGAATGGAAGCTGGTTGCTCCCCAGCAATCACTGTCCTCTTATCACCTAATCCTCGTCGATCTTCCCATGCACTCTGGGTCCTGGGATATTGGGCGCCCATTGACCCTGGCAACAGCTGCTGATGAAGTATGCAAAGTCATTCGAAAGCATGCACACGGTGGGAGAGCACATGTTGTTGGTCTATCACTGGGCGGTTTCATCGCTCTCGTTCTCACATCTCGCCATCCCGACGTCGTGTTGTCGACGTTTTCCACAGGTGCTTACCCATACAGAGGACTATTCAAGTGGTTCTTTGAGCACCCGATGGCCATGTCGATTGTGAATTGCATACAGAGCATTCCTGGTGTGCTTGAGGCATCGCTGCGACGGCAGGGAATTGACTATGAAGAATGGGTTGCCGAAGGGAAGAAGAACCATTCACCGGAGAGGTCCAAGGCGATGAATAAGGAGCTCAGTGCCTTCAGTATGGAGGACATCAAAGCAGTTGCAGATTCTGGAGTCAGAACTTGTGTTATTTCGGGAGGGAAGATGGATCAGATTGATCCTGCACGAGATATGGGTGTTATTCTGAGAGAGGGAGGAGAGAAGACAGGAGTCAAGAATGAGGCTGTCGTTGTGAGGGATGCTTATCACCCTTGGCATTTACAACTTCCAGAGTTGTTTGCTTCTGGGATTGCTGCTTGGGTACAGGATAAAGAATTGCCCAAAGAGTTCGAGATTTTGTAGCCTGTTCAGTTTGGCCGGCAGCTGTTGTTACCGATAGAGATATTGCATGTCATTAGAAAGCAGGTTCTTTACAAGAATGTTTATGTAACTTTCAAAGGCCTGGTTCGGGCTGAGTTGAGTGCGCCTGCTTTAGGCAGAAACTGCAGTAAGGCATTTTCTGCAGCTGAGGGCTGACAGGACTTGCATGATCTTGCCTTCCATTCAGCCGCACCACGCGGGGGTGGCACGCCAGCTCTCAAATCTCTGACTTAGGACAAATTCAAGTGCTTCCACATAAAGTCCAACATCGAGATACGATAGCTTTCGAATGACAATTGGCATGGCCGACCCTCTTTCTTTGGCAGCCAGTATCGCCGGCTTGATCTCTCTGGCTGATCTTGTTTTCAAGACAACTTTCAAATTCGTCAGAGCCGCCAAGGACACAAAGGATGAGATTCAGAATCTTCTTGACGAGATCAACAATCTGGCCAGCGTGTTGAGACGCCTCGAGGCTTTGACATCAGACCTGGAGGATGAAGGGCAGTCTTTCGATCCGACATTAAGGAACCACTACCTGAACCACTGCTACAAGACATTCAACAAAATCGATTCAAGAGTCAGAAAAGCATCTGAGAGCTTCAAAAAATCCAAGTTTGACGGCATCATTCGACAGCTCAAATGGCCCTTCTCATCCTCAGAGACAAAAGAGCTTCTGGCCGAGCTGTCTCGACACAAGGAAACCATCAATGTAGCCCTTCTTGCCGACTCAATGCGGAAAATGCAGCTATCGCTCTCCAAGTCTGATGAAATAGACAAGAAGATTGCCGCCTTAGGAGAAGTGGCAAGAAGAATTGAGATCAACACCACGATAGCCATCAATGATCGAAAGAAACGCATTCTTGATCATTTCATGAAAGTAAACCCACAGCCCGCGCTACAAACAAGTATCAGGCTTCGCCATTCAATGACAGGACTCTGGCTGACTGAGTCGCCAACTTTTGTTCGCTGGCTCGAAACGCCAGGCTCCAAAATATGGCTGACTGGAATACCTGGAGCAGGCAAAACTGTCCTTGCTGGCTCCGTCGTTCAAGAAGCTCTCACTCGCAGTCACACTTCTCGTAAAATAGGAGCTGCGTTTTTCTTTTGTGACTACAAGGATTCGAAAACATGGAATATTGTGAATATCTTGGGTGCATTGGCTTCTCAACTTGCACGTCAAAATGATGAATCTTTTCATCTCCTGAACGCGTACTACGAGGTTCTTTACCCTCCAAAGGGACTCCCACAGACTGCAGATGCCGACGAACTACGAGCCCAGATCAGTCAAATGTGTAAAACATTTGATCAGACCATCATTGTCATCGATGGCCTCGATGAGTGCGATGATATGACCGACGAAGTCGTGGACAACTTGATCCAATTAGCCGACTACTCTGATGGGCTCTCAATGGCCCTTTTTAGCCGGGACCACTACAACATCCGCGTACGGCTCGAAGGAGAATTTGAAATAATCCAAATAGCAGCGCATACTGAGGATGTTGAACTATACGTCAATGCCGAAGTTGATAAGAGGATCCGTACACGACAACTGCAGCTGACCAGTGCGGATATCAAAGAGGAGATCCGAAGCGCTTTGGTGGGAAAGGCCGATGGAATGTAAGACCCATCGTGATTATGTACTACAAACAGAAATAACAGAATCTAGGTTCAGATGGGTGGTTTGTCAGTTGGACTACCTGTGTAACTGTGCCCATGACCAAGAGCGCCGCGAGGCTTTGACCAAACTCCCGCCCGATCTTCCTGAGAGTTATCGTCGTCTTCTTGAGCGAGTTAGCAAGTGCTCTCTTTGGGTACAAAACATGGTCCAGATGTCTCTGCACTTCATGGCCGTAGCAGACCCAAAGCTGACAATAGTTGAGCTTCAACAAGCGGTCTCAACGCCAGCAATAGGTGGGACGCTAGAGGAGAGAAACATTATACCGGAGTTCGAGATAATGAAGAGGTGTAGCAGCCTCATCCGAAAATCTACAGACGGGAAGTACTTTGAGTTTGCCCACTTCTCTGTTCGCGAATTTCCGGAAGACGAGAAAGCAATCTTTCAAACAACTGGCATCGAAAAATACTGGATTGCCCGATCGACAACTCAATCACTTCTTGCTACGCAGTGCTTGAGGTTTCTCCAGATGAAGAACTTTGACAGGATACCTGAAGAGCCAAACGCACAAGTCGCTGCTACTCGCCAAAGGGACGAGTGCTACCCATTCTACAGACATGCCGCCCTCTTATGGATCAAGCTCACAAAAGGTGGACTTGGCGACTCTGAAATTCTGGACTTAGCAAAGTCTTTGTTCCAGCCTTCCAAGCGAGCATATTTCATGTGCTGGGCTGTTGAGGTCTTCAAGAACGTAATGTATGCCACTGGTATCGGCTCGAGATATGACCCAAAGAACGAGACAGAAGTACATGCATAGAAAATAGTGATGCTTCCTTCTTTCAAGCCATTGCACATGGCTTCTGCTTTGAATCTTCCAGAAATATGCAGCTTTTTAATTAGCAATGGCTCGGATGCGAACGATAAGCTGGATGCGGCAACCTCCTTAGATCTCGCATTCATGTCTGTTTTGGCAATTCCTGGACTGGCGACAATGAGCGGGGAGAAGAGCCAACATCGCCATCTTATGATCACTGGAAGGAACGAATTCTTACCCTCAACTCAACGAAGAAATATGACGATAGACTGCTTGATGCAGGCTGGGGCTCGTTATTCAGACCATTTGATCCCCCCAAATTCACTCTCGGGCTTCTCAATTGCCTGCTTACTCGCATCGATCTTTCACGATCTGTACCCTGTTTTTCGGTGTCTGTCCTCTCACATTCCCTCTGTGCCTGAAGTCAAGGTACTACGAGAATGGCTGATGGCTACTGATACATCAAATGTTGTGGCAGAAGTATCGGCTCGCATACTATTGAAATTCCTTAGTTCAACGGGAGCATACAACACTGAATGGGGTGCGGAGCTTGGCCTGACTGTGTGGAATTGGGCCCACGAATGTGACTTCTCCCTAACAAAAGACCTGAGTTTGGTTGGTTCTTGTGCCTTGATGTCGGATGATAATTTGGTTTCTCAAATTATTTCAGCTGTTTGCAGCGACAACGTTGAATTGCTCAAGTACTGCGTTGCAGATAGGAGACTGAAGAACCAAGTTCGATATTCTGGCCCCGTCAATGGACTTTTGCACCTGGCAGTCAAGCACAACTCATTTAGCGTTTTCAAAGTTTTGGTTAACGCAGGATTCGATGCTTGTACCCAAAACGACAAAGGCGAGTTACCAATTCATTTGTGTGAGCGTCAAGGTAGCTTGCGTTCCTTCAAGGCCTTTAAAGACCTTGGAATATCTCTTATCAGCCAGGACCAAGATGGTTACAGCATCTTACATCGCTGGGCTGAAGATCGTCCTTTGAATTATGAGTTTGTCAGTGGAATTTTCGACCTGGATTCACAAGAAGTGATCGAAGGGCTCCAGACAAGAACACCTCAGGGTGATACACCATTGACTCTGATATTCAAAAGTGCTGGGGAAAGCCCAAGAAGCGAACACCAGGGCATTGACTTGGATAGGCTATGCCTTCAGGTTATGGGCCTCTTGCAGAGATATTATCTGGAAAAGGGGATTAGCATAAGGCCGACGAACGGAATGAGTGTCGAGGGTCTGAGACAGGCCTTTACCGAGTTCGACAATATGATAGAAATTGATCCTACGCCATTGCACAAACTGAAAGCTTGGGTTTCGTTGAGTCAAGTCCAACTACTCATAAAGCTTTATCCAGGTGCGCTTAATTCACGAGTCAATGGCAGACTACCCATTGAGGAATATATCGAGAGCACACTCGATAATCGAAAGAATCCAGAACACGATATCATAATGAGCCTTTTCCCCAATAATCACCAAAACCCCGAGTCAAGCGAAAAAGAGAGCTTGTGGCACTTTGCCTGTCGTATAACAGGTCACGAATGTTACAACAAATACTGGAAGTATGTCAGCGGACGATACATTCCCCTCTTTGAATTTGGGACGCTCATGGAAATCCTGTTTCAACTTGGCGCGATGCGTATCTATGAAAAACAATTCAAAGAGAGTGGATTGAAACCTCTACTTTCTAAGTATCAGCCAGCACTGTTACCTGTGATTCGAGATGCTATATTGCAAACCGACTACTGGGACGGTATGCAAAGCTCTGACTCGATATCTTTCTTGTTCCAAGATGTCATAAAAAGTGGCAATCTCAACATGATACGGCTCCTTGTCAAGAACGGAGCCAACCCCCATCATCGTGTGAATGGCCAAACTCCCTTTGAAACCGCATTTCATGGTCGTGTAGCAATCAATATTTGTAAAACGGAGGAGGGAGCCGAGGTTCTCAGGGATCTATTAGAACGTTGCGGCATTAATCAGATATGGAAGGGCCTTTTTGAAACTGGCGACTACTCACCCCTTCATATGCTCGCCACATCAGAAGATGCAACCAACATCACCTGGATGGTGGAAGCACTTTTACAATGTGGACTTGACATAAATTATGTCGGATCAGGTCCGTGGGCAGTATCTCCCCTCGTTTACCACCTTCACCAGTCTTCCTTTCAATTGGCAGAGAAACTGCTAGAACTCGGAGCAGATTCGTCCTTGAATGAGATTCTTGCATGTATTGCCATTGACAACCTGTCTTTTCTACAGAAAATCTATGTTCGAGAAACAGAGAGACTTGCAGCATTCACATGGCCTGCCCCAGTGACCTTCAAAATTCAGCATCTCCACGAAACAGCCATGGTAAGAAATGGGAATGCAATCCATTTGGCATCGGCCTGCAATAGCGTTGAATGCTTGGGATTCATTCTGAAACACGCTTCAGAAATGGACAAGGTTTCGATATCAGATGAAGGGTTAACGCCAGTACATATCGCTGCCTATGAAGGTTATGTTGACATTATGAAGCTTCTTCTTGAGAATGAGCTCAGCACCATGACAGAAAGTCGGTCCGGCTTCACTCCGATGCACATGGCTGTATTGGGAGGGAGTCTTCATACGGTCCAATGCTTACTTGAATATGGTGCCACTCAAACTTTGGATGCAAGCGGCAGAACGCCTGGGCGGATTTCCTTAGAGCTTGGATTCGATGGAATCTACGAGCTGTTGGAAGGGGATGCTCAAAGTGGATTCCAACAATTGCCATCTTTACGGAAGCACGCAGCAGTCATTGAACCAGAAGAGCGCTTGGCAATGTCATTCGAGAGAGCCATGAAGGAAGAAGACTACGAGAGCATGGGGCAGTTGATCGATCAAGGGTGCCCTGTGGATGTTCCCCTCCCATCAAGCCAAGGATTGTCCGCAATTCTAGTGGCTTTAGAGGAAGGGAACCCTGTAATGGCGGCCTGGCTGTTACAACAAGGAGCCAGTGCTTTGCAAGCTAATCAAGTGGAAGAGGACGTACTGAACTTGATTGATATAGCTGCCGGTCAGTCAAACCTCAATTGGTTGTTACCGGAACTGTTCCAGGAGTATCTCTTGGAAGGTGGTGATTTGAAATTTGGGTATGAGCTCCCATTGCATAAGGCAGTCGAAGAAGGCAACACCAAGGGGCTTGCGATATTACTTGAGGTGGCGGAAGAGTATCAGCACTACATCGGGTAAGCTGATTTAAGAAATGGGACTACAAGTACCTAACACTCCTATAGATCCTCACACACGGTCAGGGACGTACTGAACAGTTTGTCGTTAAGGAATTTCTCCTGCGAAAACAATTGGAAAACCTGGATACATGTTGCAAACACGACGGCGTTGCATGCAGCTGCATGGGACGGGAACACGGAGGCAGTCTCACTTCTGGTAAATAGGGGAGCTGATATTGATGCGGCCGATTCGACTGGATGGACTCCTCTCTTCTACGCGAAAGATGCTGACACGGCCAACCATTTGGTCTCGCTCGGGGCATCGATGGCTGCAATTTGCAGGTTCGAATCACTTGGGTCATTGATCAACTGGTTCGGTGATAATCTGTTCGATGAAGTGCACCCTGTCAGTTTTTCACGACTCCCGGAGGAGTTCTTGACTGTGTTAGACCCACCGCGATTCTCAACACTTTACGAGGAGTTGTCTCTCACTCCTAAAAGTTTGGACAAGTTGCATGAGCTGAAGTTTGATCTTATGAGAGAGGACGAGGCGGGTCGAAGTACAATGCATTATATCTTGGGCGAAGAAGATCTAGTTGAATGGGTGTTGAGCTCCGATCAAGATCTCAGCAGGACAACTCCTTTTCCTTGGCACTTGGAGTGGTACGAACTTTCTGATCTCGCCCTGCTGACATCCTCATTTGAACGGCTTCGACAAAAGATGCCAACTGGCTTGTTCTATAAAGTTCTCAATCTCGAGCCATCACGCGGTTGGAGTCCTTTATGCCGTGCAGCAGCTTTGAATCGTGCTGATATTATCGCCAACTGCCTTGACATGGGTGCTGACATCGACTTTGAAGGTTCCTGTTTTGGATCAGCGGTTATGAATGCAAGTGCTTGCGGGAGTCTGGATGTCGTCAAGCCCCTCGTTCGCAACGGGGCTTCGGTAATGTACACGAGCAAAAATAAGTTCATAAGCTGTTATCTGGTTGCTGGAACTGAAGCTGTGCGGGAATGACTTCTTTGCGGTCGCTTCAAGGACCAGATACGTCTCGCGTCCGACAGTGATTCGGAGTGTCCTCAGGAAGAGGTTCCTTGGAGTGGATACGTGGAGGTCAGGGTATTGCTCTACGGCGGAAGAGCTCGATGGCCTAAGGAGTCGACTTTGGACTATGCTAAGAGATTGTCGAAGATGAAAAAGAGCTGGCAAGGGCAAGTTCTGCGGCTCTGTGCCCAAGAAGCGGGCTTATCCTGTGGCACGGACTCTGATACTGGATCTGAGGATACTGGATCTGAAGAAGTGGACTCCAATCCTGGGTCTGGCCAGAGCCTGGATTTTGAGTCGTGGTGCGAGCTTTGGAATGAAAGATCGGGATGGATGGAATAGCCGGAGATGGATGGTAGATGGGGAAGAGGGTCGTGTGTTTGGCGAATCTTTTCTATTTCTTTCATCTTGACGATATTGTTTGCAATGCAATATTTGGTCTGAAAGTTGGTTGAGAAGTTTGGTCATATACAATGAAAACGAAAGCGAGAATGACTAGATGTGAGTGAAGGAGATCAAGGATATTTGACAGTTGTGTCATAAAAACCGAGTACCTAAGGTAGAGAAGCCAGTGAGTGTGCTTGCACCGACAGAGAGGTAGCCTGCCATACCGGGCCCTAAAAATGCCGCATGACGCTTTTGTTTATCGGTAGGCATCTAACTCTAGTGCAAAATATTCCATAACCCCCTCGACTCCCTCCTCCACGACCTGCATGCAAACTCGATCAGCATACAACCACCACCAACCGTGCTTGGACGCGGTGCCTATCACCCTCTAAGTGTACGAATAGAGTTCCAACAAAGTAGTCTCTCTTTGTCTACAAGACCGCCAAGATGCAGGCTGCCGAGTATGCGTCCAAGCTGGCCCATGCCACTATGCACCCTTCCACAGGTGTCGACCCTACCAAGAATCACGGCACATACTGGAAGACCGCCCTCCTCACTGAGGAGCGCGACTGGGAGAAAGTCCCTCCTCCTGCGCGTGATACCTTCACCCTGTCCGACATCCTCGGCCAGACGGACCCTCATCTTGCCGTCGTCTCCCGCACCGGCATCATTGGCATGTCTCTGCAGTATTACCAGCTGCCCGGTGAGACTGAATGCCGCCAGCACTTCTTCTTCGAACTGAATGAGAGCGTGCTATTTGCCGACGAGGACGGAAAACGTTGTGCCATCCATGGCTTCGCTATGTGGATGGCGCCTACCATCGATGGGAAGGCCGAACTCACTGTCCGATTCTGCATCAAGAGTGAACCTTGGATGGATCCTCTTCTGATCTTTGACTTTTACGTCGAGAAGTCGAAGATGGACCCGAAGGAGAACTTCATTCTGATCGATTTCATCAATGCTCTTCAGGGTACTCGTGCAGGGCTGCCGGAGGGGGAGCGTACCAACCTGCTGCGCTTCAAGTTCTAGGAGACTGGCGGCAAGTTGCACGGATATCGCGATGCTCTGTAAGTTCAGACCCCCCCTTTCATCACTATCTCATCTGTTATTGAGCCCAGCTAATATGGAACAGTCTCCAGTGGATGATCCGCCTCACCATCGCCAAGTTCCTCAGCTGGTCCTGCCACGGCATGGACTTTGAGGAGGCCAACTTCGCAGGCGACGGCGAATACATGGGCGATCTAAAATTCGACGTCATCATTTACAACAAGTTCAAGTCCGACCCCAACGAGCTTGGCGACAACATGAAGCGAATCATTGACGTGACGAAGACGCCCATCAAGCGCGGTGTTTGGCTCGACGAGAATTTCACCCGCCCTCTCGTATTCAGACTTGTAAAACTGCCGTACGAGGGACCTCCCGCCTGGCGTGATGCCCTCACCACTGCGTCTGTTGATAAGTGGTTTGAAGGGATTGATGACTGGTTTGCTACGGGAGAGTTTGCTAAGGAGTGATTGAAGGGTGTGCTTATGTTTTTGGAACTGTCAAGGAAGGGCTTGGTTTCACGGTGATGATTGAATCACGGAGGTTTACCAGGATGCTTACATGACAGGATTGCAGAATGAAGGGATGGAATTGGATTGCTCAGTAGCTACATGGAAAGCGCTATATATACCAAATCAACGACGGATTGGTGCAACGGACGGTGCAAGCCTGATGAATCTCGAGTCCTCCGTGTCAACACCAAACATAACTGCCTCCGCCCCATCACTTCTCGTCTTCATCTTATCCCACGGTCTATAACCGTTCAGCTCGTTATCCCACCATGGTCCCCTCACAGCATGCGCAATAGCCAAGAATGAAGCCGGCAGTTGAGGAAGATGCTTGAACCTGTTCCGAATGATGTCGATGACTGAAACAGATACCGACAAGAAAAGCATGACTGTTACGGCGATGAGAATACTGCAGCGCACGATGTACACTGATTCCGTGATGTGGGAGAGCGTAGGAACAGATGAAGTACCAAAATACCCAGCTGTGCTGATCGACACGATCGCGTGAGCCATGTTGCCAAAGAAGTGACCAAAGTCCTCCGCGGTGGGAATCGCGTAAAGAGCATCGAGGGTATCGTCAACAATACCGATCTGGTTGCGGAAGATGTACCACGGAATAGCAGACATGTACACGCTTAGCGCATCAAGCGCCTCCGTGTCAAGCGCTGTTTGGTTGGACCCTGGGGCTTCGGTACAGGATGTCATTATCGTACCGTTGAAGGTACACGAGCCGACGAGCCATTTGATCGAGGGCGTGCATTTCGTGCGGGAGACCCAGTCTCCTCCGTCAGTTTGCACCAAGCTCTTGTCGTTGCCTCTGTTCCGCAGAGCAGTCTCGTTGACATTCGGGATGGCCTTTGTAGCTGAGAGGAAGTACGTCGTGCCTGAGGTTGGGATCTTGTTTGTGCCGTGGACTGAAGCGTTACTCCAGAGTCGAATTCTCTGCGAGCCTTGCGAAAGCAGCTCGATGCTCTCAACACTGTTATCAGGGAGGGTGAAGTTGTAGATCGTGTTGCCGTCGTCTTTGTAAGAAGTGTAGTTCACTTCAGTAGCAGCCTCGCATGCAGCGGTCCAGTTGAAGAAGACCAATCCATCGTAAGTCGTGTTTGTAGCAAACGTGAGGTTGTGCGTGGGTACAGGCCCCAAGACGCCAGAGTCGACATTCGCCAATGCATTCTGCGAAACAAGACTCCCCACAAACGTAAACACCGTCTGAGACAAGAACGTGTCATTCTTGGATAGCGAAGGGTGAAACTCCAAGTCTGGACTCGCACCCATCGCGGTCGAAAGCGCAGTGATGTTACTCCCCACTGCATCCCGCGCAATCGGAACCCCCACGACACCCCAACCCTCCTTAAAATGTCCATACGGCCCAACAGTAAGCGAAAGTGTTCCAACCGGCACAAGCAGCGTTCTTGTAAGGATCAAAAAGGTATGCATGACTCCATACCACCACGAATACTTCATAACAGCCGGCAGCGTCAACAAGGTAACGCCTTCTGCGATATCATCTAGATCTCTAATCGCAACGGGTTGCTGCGTTGTAAGTGCGAATAAATGCAATCTCCGAAAATCGAAGACGACAAACTGAACGAATAGAGCTGCTGGGGCGAGGAGTGCTGAGAGCGCTATACCGGAGTAGAGCTGATCCACGGGCACGGAGTCGCCTGTGCGAAAGACTCGACGTTTTGAAGCATCGTTATCGAGGAGTGCGCCGGTGTACGACCACACTACGCAGAATATGGCACCGACTAGGTAAATGCCAAGAGTTATGACATACCATTTCAGCAAACTATCCAACTTGTACAATCTTTTGAAGTCTGTATCTTGGGTGATGGGGTAGTTTGTTGCTAGACCGGGGTTTTTGTCGTTGACTCGGTCTTCTTTGTCGAGGGAAGAATACACCGGCGGTGTAGTCATGATGTCTGATATTTCACTGGTGTGTTCGGGTGCTTGATTGGGGAGGATGGCGAAGAAAAAGTCGGTCGGAGGTGGAGGTTGGCATAAGACAAGACGGACGCGGTGGACGGACACGGACACGGACATGGACTACGGAGATTGTGGGGTCGGTGTAAGCAAATTTAACTTGAAACCGGCAATTGATCGCTCACCCTATGAGATGAATTATAAAAATATCCAGCATTTACTATGTCAGAAAAAAAAACACAATTGTTTTAGGCAGAGTGCTGTAAGGCTTAAGTTTGGGTTGGGCTTTGTGTGAGGTTGATAACCCAATCACAGAGCTGCAAACTTGAGATGCAGCATTGAATATGAATTACAAATATAAATGATAGTGAAATATGTAGCAGTAAAAACTCATTTGAAGGTCTTTGTTTTGAGGTTGCATAATAACATCATAGAAGCTGAGGCATGAAAGATGTTCACGGAGATATCATCATATGATCTTTGTATTCTAGTATATACGAGAAGCTATACCCATCACTCTGGCCACCCATCGCTTCTTATGTCTGTCATTGAGATCAAGACCAAGCGATCTGTAGGAGGCTAAAGATTTCCCTTACTGGGGAACGTTGCGGATGTCAACCATGAGGTGTCCATTGCCCCAAGCAGGGTTCTGTCCCCGAACCTTTCCATCGGCTCGTGTGCAACGGCTGAGAGACGTTAGTAAAGCAGAAGTTGACATACTTGCAAGAAGACTTACTCCATGACAAGACCAGCACCTCGAGCAACATCACGGCTAAGGAAGGAATCAGCAAATGTTCAACAGACAGCGGCTTTGAAAATGAGCTCACCAAGGAGAAGAAGAGGTTTGGTCACTGTTAAGTCCAACAGCGAGACCAGTGATCTGGGTGTTTCCACGTCTGCAGAAGGACTGGCCAGAGACACCAGCTACGCAGGCTTGGTCACCGAGGCTGGCGAGGTAGTTGATGCACTCGACTGCTTCATTGACCTTTAAGTTGTTAGTAACTTGATTCAGACTGGAGCTGATAAGAGTTAAACGACGAGACGTACGTTGGCCAAAGTGTCCCCAGGGAGGTTGTCCATGCAGCTGGTATCATCACGAGCTTCGAGAGGCTGAGGAGCAGCAAGGGCTGAAGAAGCAGCGGCGAGGAGGATAGCGAAAGAGGTGATGAAGTTGACCATTTTGGCGGTAGGAGTATGAAGAGCAGGTTGAAGTCTAAGTTGAAGTTGTAAGTCGTTGTGGAATGAACAAAGACACCATATAGACGGAAACCCTCTCTTTATACTACTTCCGTTTCTCCGCCCCCATGATATTTTCTTCAACAGCCTCTCGCTACGTTACCACAGAATCCTCAAAGAGGCAGAGTCACACTGAGTCCGTGAATTTCAACCCGAGGCTGTAGAAAAGACACTGCTAAAATTGGTATATCCGATATGGCCATTCAGAGATCGTCAGTGAGAAACTGGTTGGAGGTACAGGGGACCCCCCATGGTTGGTTTAGCTTGAGCGGGACGCTGACAACGCATGGATTTATGCTGCAAGTGGCAGGAGGTCACACAGAAACGGAATTCCGTTCTGCGGCAAATTCTCACTGAAGCTGATCTTTTAAACTCATCTTGCTGCTGAATACCATAGGAGTCGATTTGAATACAACAAGAAACATCTCTAGACTCGTTGAATTTGGAAGACTAAACTAATGGATGTTTTCACCATAAGTTAACTTTAGAGTCGTAACGATTCCCGCCGTATTGCCGTTTCAGCCTAACCAACGTAAGAGCATTGCATTGACCACAGCCCTATCTTGTCAATTGAAGATCTCTCGGGTCGCCCGACGAGTAATTGGTAGACGGATTGAAAGGCCCTGCACTAAACACTCAAAACCTCTCTTCTTGCTAACTTGTTGCGGGATAGCTTTCTTACTCAGCCTCCAGAGGCTAAGCCTCAGCATAAATGCCGAGAACTTTTGAGGTCATTTGCTGGCATCTGATTCTGCAGTCAGCTTTGCCCAGGTACGCGGGAATAAGAAGGATTCTGGAAGAATTGCATCTGCCGATGCGGTGAGGATTGACATGAGGGTGAGATTGAGTGGGAGCGGGGCTGTAAGAAGTCAAATGGAGTGAGGTCTGTATTTTACACTGAATGTAGCTGGCTAGGATATATAGAATGGATAGGATCTGAAGTCGATGCTAGAAGCCAACAAGTTTCTACGAAGAAAGCTCAAAAAGCCTCAGACGAATTTCAGCGAGGCCATCACTGGTCCAAGGTTTGAAAACTCTCTCCTCCGGGTTCCGGTTATTGCTGTGAGGCTGAGCCCTGCCACGACAATACACGATCCTTAGGGATCACTCTGCATTGGCCAGTCGCAATAGAGACACGCAGGATATTGTTTCCCGAGAGTCAGAGCCAAAGTCAAAATCTAGTGACGGAGAATATTCTATCAAAGGTGTCCGAGAAGTCCGGGCCGTCGGGGATTTCCTAATCAAGCTTACTACAAACAGCTTATTCTGCAATACTACTCTACTTAAACTTTATTCTTACGGCTTATAATTTCTCCTCTTGCATCAAACCTACGCTTACTACGGCATTGACGGCCATCGCCTTCAGCCTGCGGCGGTTGGTCTCACTCCTCTCTTGAGCATGATGTCATATCTGTGAGTAACGATGTTCCACACATATACATGATAAGTTCATATGCGCCTTAAAGGAGTATCCTTATAGTCTATGCAAACTGCAAGGAAGCTGGAAGTATATTCGTACTCAAAAGGATATGGCTTTGGATATCGTAAATCACTACAGCCAAGATCATAAGTGCCGATAATATCCTCAGAGAAGTGAGACACATGCAGTCCTCACTCTCCACCCCCACGAAACCTCCACGAATTGGCTTCATCCCGTGCGTTTGACAGCATTAGGTGGAACCAACGTTCGGGCCTTTCGAAATTGTGATGCTCTGGTTTTCTGCAATGAACCCGAAACTGAAATGGTATTTCTCATTTTTCGACGAGTTCGTGCGGCAGCATAACGGTCAAGAAGCTGTGCCACCTCGGCTTATAAGAAATGGCTTCATGTGCGGGGTTGTCGACTGCCACAAACACGCTTGACTGCAGACCGAATGATTGACAGGGAGTGCCGGGCTTGAGAATGGAAACTGGTGTGTTTGTTGGCTTTGAAGGCGTTGTGGTGGGAGAAGACGGTTATATCAAGACAGCGTTTCCCAGCTTTCTCAAATGTCAAATCCAGAATTCTCCAAGAGAACATTCAGTCTCCCAAGTTCTGAGTAGTCATTACAAGCACTCGGTCATAACACCCAACTACAATTACTATTGCATCTCTTGCCATGGCTTCATACTACCCAGAAGGCGAATGCTACTTCGTCAGAAGCTCTCTAAGAAATGGTCCTCACTGGAACGCAAACAACCAGAATCTGTTCTACAGGACCGTTCTTCTTGAGTACTATTGGAACGGATGGCCAGCGACTGGCGTGACCCAAAGATCCCATACGAGATCACGTTGGCAGCATGGTACGCCCTCCGGAATTGGAGGCACGCGCTTCGGGGACTGGGACAGTTTCTGGGTGGGCGAGAGCAGAAACAAGTCGCCGTCGGATATGCTCAGAATCCACAGCCATCCCAACAGCCTCAACTGGAATGAATGCCGGGATCACCAGAGGGGAGGCCCCAGAAAATACATCCTTCGTCCGGTGGAAATCCAACATCGCGATACCCAGTGGCTGTGGATTGATGCTACTATTCCCCTGAGAGCCATCTACTTCCCTGTCGCGTTCAACACAGACCAAGCATTCCCTCACCTGTGCACTTATGTCGTTATCGACTTCAGACACAGGAACCAACTTCAGATGTTCAGTACTACTGGGGCCTCAAGAACGCTGACTCTCAACTCCCATAACGGCCTTGGCTGGCATGATGGCCTCACATGGGGTTTCAACATAACGGACATCATTGCCTATCTTTCAATCCCACACAAGCTGCGCAATCCGGATTTCGGGCTGTTCGCATCCAAGCAGCGTGGCCAAGAGCTGGTCGTTTGGGCCAACTCGTCGTTGGTTTGGAGATCTTCTGTATCGATCACGAACCATCCAGATTTCTTCCGCGAGATGGACTTCGCCAGAATCCTCAGCGCCACCTTTGGCGTCGAGATCGGGTGGAGACCCTACCAGCACAACCCGTTCCTCAGGGACCTGCTCATCCGTATCACTCAGCTAGGGCTAGGCTTCATCCCAGGCGTCGGACCCATCCTCTCCGTCGCATTCGGAATAGGAGTTCAGCTGCTCATAGATCCCGACTCGTTCGGCAGGGACAACATTCTTGATCTATCGTTTGCTGTTCTGGAGAGTGTGATTAGCTCGGGCAAGAGATCTCAGAAGTTTATTGCACCGGATTGGCTTGCACAGTGTCCATGTGGCGGCCAACAGCGGGGTGTGCCGCTGACGGATCAGCAGAGAGAGGCTCGCAAGAAGTTGGGCGAGGAGATCAACAACCGTCTGACTGCTGAGTTGAATGCTCAGCCTGTTATACGCTCTCTTGAGGAACAGGAAAAGCTTCTCACTGGGCGTATTGAGGAGGTTCGAGATGAGGCTGCGGAGAGAACCCAGGACGCTGCACCGGGAGAGGAACCGGAGGGGAATCAGGAAACTGAGGATCAGGAAGATAAGGACGGGGCTGAGGAAACTGGCGAGAAACATGATTAAGGGTTACGAAACACAGCCACTTTTGAAGTCTCGGTGGACTTTTAGGATACTATCCACTCCTTTCATGTTTCAGTTTTGGGACGGCATTTTATATTGGTAGCTTTGGGAAATTGACATCGTTGAAGGAACAGAGGTTAGAAAATCGATCTCCGGAGAGTTTGGAGCAACGTGAAGATTGCTTTGAGATTGCCAAAAATTAGGCTAGTGGAGCAACTTGAATTTTAGCCACGGGGGTAGAAGAGACTACTCGGTTTGAATGAGGGTATGCGATGAAATCTTGTGAAGTGATCACTATTATAGCCAGAGTAACCAGGTCAGGAATCAGCACATCGCTGTCTCTAGGCCGAGAGATGCGCCTCGAATCATGATAAAAGAGTCTAAGCATGCTCAATTCTATAGCATAATTTCTCGCAAATCTATTACAACGTATCTGAACTTGGGCAAATATCCTTGTTGAGAGGTCTAGTGCGCGCTGCCGGTCTAAAGCGCGAGTACATTAAGATTTGCAATGTCTTGACTTGATAAATACCAGTGGAATATTAATTATCAAACAAGAAAACCACTCAAGCATCCATGGCCACCGCTCAAACATCTGGCAACCAGGTCCCATCCCCCGTGCCTCATCAGCGAATATTCGAAGACCAGTCTTGTTTCATTGATTTATGCTACAAAGCCTTTAACAAGACCAATCAATATCCGCAAAACCATAGGGGAATTGGGCTGGCGTCTCTGGAAAGCAAGTTTCCTCTTGGCAAACCGTCACGATGCCGTCGGTCTTAGTCCCTCGGTAATGTTTGTACCAAAGTTTCACGGTACACAGCACGATACAAAGCTCCTTGAGTTGTGGAACGGCCTCGAGAATGCGAGTAATGAGTTCCGAATGCCACTTCCGCTGAGCAGAGGTGGGCACCCAGTAGGGCCACTCATTCGGCTCAAGAGTGGCCTGCATCGGATCATCTGATTCGCTTTTACTCGGGTCGTCTGATTCGTCTCCGCTTGGACTTGAGACCCTGTGAAACATGTCGCAGTCATATTCATGGCAGAGCCAATCTTCTTGGAGTGAAAAGGCGAAACGCCGCAATCGGGGCATTGACTTCAGTCGTGTAATAAGCTCCTCGACGTACTCGTTCTTTTATGCTTGTGTCAGTAATACAACACTGAGTAAGATTGAGGGCACTTACAAGGTTTGGCAGCTGGGATTTCTTGTAGATGCGGCCACGTCTCCACAGAAACGCACCAACATCCAACTGATCAAGAATAAGAACTTCCAGGTGCGGAAAGTCATAATTGAATCTCTGAATAAGCTTGCTGCTCATGCAGGCAAGTGTTCGCGAACGGGTCTTGAACGAAGTTAAATCGGCCTTTAACCACTTGAGGAATGGAAATGCTGATTTCAAGGCCAAAGGATGATTCTTTGCAGTTAGGCGAGGAAGCTCAACTGACTTGACAGTATTTGGGGCGAAATGTTTGATGAGGGCACTGAAAATCAGTAAGTTCCTACGACTACAAAAGATGGCAGATTTGGGACCATTCCACTTTGGTGTGTTGCCCAATCCTTCAGCGAAGTCAATCTCGTCCTTGATTTGATTGCCAAAAGAGATCAGATCAATTGAAGATAGCTTGGAGATGAATTTACTGATAACCGCGATTCTGTGTGTCGAAAGGTGCAAATCTGTACGTTCCTCGGCGCGACTGTAGGGTTCGAAGCGAATAGTGACAGACCTGAGGCACATGATTAGTCGGTGGTTTCAAGAGTCAGACTGTGGGTGGCAATACTTGGGAACAGGAAGAAGGGTCATCATCAAGTGCTTCAAATCGCCGGAAAGAAAAGACGTCATATCGTGAGCCAGCCTCTTCAAGGATCCAGAGAATTTGAGTGTTTTGAAACACTGAGGGAGGAGGACTGATCGAAGACGCTTGGAAACAAGTGTAGCAACCATGAAATGCGGGAAAACCTCTGATCCAATCATCTAAGCTCGGGAGCACACGTCGAAAGTTTTGCCTGTTCTCCGTTCTGTCGATATGCAGGGCCTTGAGAGCTTGGCTGTGAGAGGACTTTTTCAAGATCACGTAATATCGCCTATTGAATCCTCGGGGCAATTGAACGGCTCCGAGTGTGCCGGGTTCGAAGCGTCGGACGACCGCGTTGAAATTGGATACCTCAGGCTCGCCGAAAAATGTTAGGGAGAAGGGTGTATCGCCGTTGGTTGACCATAAGCCGGTCTTGCGTAGGGCCTTGTTGAAGGCGAGGACGTCCCGATGAGTTGGTATTTCCAGAGAAAAATCCACCCCACAAAGTCGATTTATCGAGTGAAGCAAAATGTCAAAATGCTTAACATCGCTTCGTGAAAATTGCAAAGGCACACGGGAATCGTTTCTCCAATAATGGATTCTGAAGGTCACAAATCTGTAGCATTGGTTAGGGTCGCTACATTTGGTACCTACTCAATCGGGCATTACTGACCTCGTGAAGGTTTCGATCAAGTGTCTCATGTTCATTGAGATCGCGTCGCAGCTCATGGCGAACATAGTCGTCAGATGCTCAGCTACTTGCTTCACGGTGCCCGAAAATTTGATCCTGGCATATCGACGAGGGAGGAAAACATGTCACAGCGTTCTCGAGGCTTGCGTGATGCTTCCAAATTCGTCATCACGGAGATGAGAACCGATCAGATACAGAATTTCCGTTGGCACTGTTTCCAGAGAGGGAGTTGTTCGTAGACCTGCCATCGGTGCTGATATGACTTTCTTGATATGCTGCGAGAAGTTGGGGATGTTGCGTTGAGAAAAGCGAGACTTTAAGAAAAGCGAAAGCGACGGAAGTACTGAATGGAGAGTTAGGTAACCAACATAAGTAAGTAACAAGATCTCAATACTTCACTTCATGACCGAGACAAAGATGGTGAATGTTTGTAGGTCAATGAGGTGAAGGATCACGAAGGGAAGCAGAAACTGGGGAGAAGTTCAATGAAGAAAGGAAGAAAACATGCGACCTATCTTAGTAATAATTCTGTCCACTTGGCAAGTTTTCTTGCTCCCTGGAGGTACCTATGGTTTTGGCAAGGTACAGTGAATGGGCGAGAGAGTCTACACTGCCATTGCCAGTGCCAATGTTAGGTGGTACGGGTCTAATGATCATTCACTACCATGACTGAAGCATAAGATATGGAAGTACTTCCAGGAAGTAATGTAATGCCCGAGTAAGTTAACGTAGACACTGAGGACACAATGTCTTTGCCCGCAGTGACATGTTCCAGTCAAAAGTCTCTACTATAGTTTGATGCAGAAGAAGAAACAATGCCTCTATTTTCAGGTCCTAGTTCAACATGTCTCAGCAGTAACTAGTGCTAGTCAGATGAGGAAAATCGGTGATACCAGTCACATGCACGAAGACAACAAGAAGAAATTACCACTTGCTGCAAAACTCGCATTTTGATTCTCAAATATCCGCCTCTCAACTGTGAGAACACCAACTACTACTGCTAAGCCACAGGTTCTGATGCCCTACCGAGTGTGCCATCTGCGTTCATGGCGCAGAAATCTAACACTTCAGCTTGATCCTCCCGCCCTCCTCCAGCTCGAAGCATCCACCAAGCTTTAGTTCTCCAAAACATTCGGGAACAGATATTTCTGAGAATAATCCTCGGAAGACTCTTCAGACATGTTCCAGGCGCCGTCTGTGAGAGTTGCTCGGTAGAACATGGGATGTCCAGTTGCAATGCAAACCTCCTCGAGACCTTTGGCATGGGCGGCAAAATACGTAGTCACCAATTTGCATACGCCTTCAAGCCCAAGAACTTCGAAGGGCACTGGAACCTTTTCCTCAATCATGGCCAACAGTTTCCTCGTGATGGAATTAAAAGTCTTGTCGTTAGATCCCATTCCACGCATAGAAAATGCAAACCGACGTAGCCGCGGCAACTTGTCAAGGATTGAAGCGACTCTTGCGATCTCCCGGGACTTCCAAGGGTGTCAGCAACCGCGATAGGAGTTCAGTAGATAACAAATGAATACTCACCCAGAGCCGTGTATCTGCGTAGTAGTCGTAGCGCAAGAGAGCATTGGAAGACTGTTTTTCATAAATGTTCAATGATTCAAGCTGAGGAAAGTCTGTGCCGATGCTGTTGACAAGTCTAATGCCGAAACCTGTTTGGACTGAGACTTCATAAGAGATGCAAAGGTATTTGTCGAGACGCAGTGAAGTCAGATTGGCGCCGTTGCGTGCAAGTTCGTCATAGTGGTCTGGAAATAGTCCAGAAGGTGCAGAAATTCCCTTTAGGGCCCCGGCTTTGAACCTTCTGACTATTTTACGCATGTCCCAGTCCTCGAGTTCTTTCTTGAAATAAACATGCTTAGGACCTTGCCAGTCTGGGCCCCTGCGAATCAAGGTGTTGAATTTGGACGCCTCTTTGGGATTTCGAAGCCAGGTATCGAAAATGACGCCGCGGAGGTTAGGGGTATCCGCTAAAAACCGCCCGATGGGTATGGAATTGACTCCGGAGGCTTGAACCCAGGTATACATTTCGGAGATGTCGTTGAATTTTGTAACTTCAAAAGTCACAAATCTGTCAGGAAAGTCAGTGAAGAACTTGAACTGCTATGGCAGTGGAGGCAGCGCACCTCGTGTGATGATGGACTAGGTGACGGAATGAAGCTGTCTTGCGGGCAAAGTAGGCGTTGAGGCTGTTTGTCAATTTTTTCATGTTACCGGCAAACTTGAGATGCTTGCAGAATTTCAAGAGAAAGATTTCGCGAAACCGCTTTGATACGAGCGTCAAGTCCTTGACCTCATTAGCGGAAAGGTTGTCCCCGATCATGCATACAATCTCGGTTGGCATGGTCGCGAGTTCGGGGGTTGTGGATGTTGCCGCCATGGTCGCGATGCTCTGCAAGGCACCACCTAGCAGAGTATACAAGCGGATCAGACAAAGAAAAGATCTTTCATGCAATCAAGCTTGCGAAGAGAAAAGAGGGTTCAAGTGTCAAGAAGGCTGACGCCTCTAAGCCTGCACTGTGGTGGAGGCTTGTGAATGAAGCGTGGTTTTTGTGGTAAGGCAAGAAAAGGAAACAAGATGGGAGAGAAAACACACGAGTTAAAAGGGAGTGGAGATTTCAAAGGAACTCGAGGTTTTCGGGTGTTTGCTAAGGTAGAGAGAGTGGTCACTGTGAGCCAGTGAATAATAGACAATGTCTGCCACAGCCAGAAAATGCAAGAGCCCACATAAGGCTTCACAACTCGCATAAAAGAAAATATGCAGACATCATTTCTGTCATCAAGGCCTTACCCGATATTAAGCCAATCAAAAGTATTTAACAACTCAAATCTAAAGTTCAGCCTCCCCGTTAAACCAGAACTGAACTGGTCCAATGACCCAACGTCACTCATCGGATCCATATTATTGAGATGATAATCCAACACACGCTGTATAACAGTCTTACAGCTCGCACAAAGATCACCGTTTGGTGCTGATGGGTGAACCCAGTCCAAGAAACCAACAAGCAGACTGAGCTGCTGAACAATGCTTGATCGGCTTAGGCGACTGTCCTTGGGATGTTTGCCTTGAAAAGTTGGACTGAGTAGTTCAAGGCAGAGAATGCCACCGCCTGGCACTGCAAAGGCCATGAGCTACATAAAGTGTCAGAGCGTTCCAAAAGGGAGTAGGACAAACAACTTACCAGCCACTCCATATCTCGTCGAATATCACGGAATCGATCCTTGTGCATCCAGAACATCAGAGTAAGCGTTATCATCTCATATGAAACTAAAAGAACATCTCCTTCATCTGGACACCCATATTGAAGGAGTAGCCTTTCGAGCAAGAACATGTTCTGCAGATGTGTGAGTCGGATGAATATTTTCAAGGATACAACGTTTGCCTCGACTGGAGGGTCAGAAAGGTCTTTGTCGTACGACCGTATCTCTGCTTTGGGAAGAGGAAGATCGGTAGGGTCATCGGGATCATAAACAAGACACCTGGGAAGTTCGGCAAAGATATTTAACTGCCATTGCTTCAGATTTCTTGAGGGATTAGCAAGCATTTTTTATTGCTTGGACGGATATTGAATACCTGATAGTCTCAACAGTCGCATTGGCGCCAGAAGCAAGACTAATATCAATAATTTCGTTCAATATCTGAGCCATCAAGTAACCAGCTCGACAGATACTCGAAGGATAAACACCGCCTCTTAAGTTCCAGCCACGACTATCAAGCTCAGACACGGCTCTCTCAAGCGCAGCCCCTCCAGCAAGAAGGTCCTCATCACTCAAATCCAGTGGTGGTGGTGTGGAGCAGAAGCGCGGATTAAGCAGTGGAGGTCGTCCCGTAAAAGCAACAATAGCTTTGTCAAGATTATAAACTCGACCGAAAAGACGTCGTTTGTGTTCCGAACTCAGTGATGGTCTGTAAGGTCCAGTGAGATTCTCGGCGTGGACTCCAAGATAAGTCATCACGGAAACGGCATCCGCAAACGAGCTCCAACAAATAAGACCTGTCGCATTCTGTAAGTGGTTGGCTGGGAGCGGCAATAAAGTCACAACTTACTGGCATCCCCCACAATCATTGATTCCATGATCGCCTTCTGGAACAGAAGATCCAATATGATGACATTGGCCAGCGTAAAGTGTCGAGCCAAGTTGATGCTGTGCCTCAAGAACGCCAAAACCGGCTTGTTCGCCGTTCCGCTCTCCAAGACATGGAACTGGTTCTTCTCAATCGGGTCAAAGGACCCTGATATCCGTCTCAAAACACTCCAGAGCAGCCCTATTGACTCCCATCGCAGATTCGGTCCACAAAGCTGATTTACCCACTCTTGTGAACTGGTATCAATGTCTTGAAATGGCTGTGCCGTGTTATTGCAGATTTGTTGCGCGATGAGCTCAAGATTGAGCTTCCGCCGGTCTAGCTTCGTCCCGAATGTTGCTTCCAAGGAGTTGATGACAGCTGGAACAGTTAGGTTGGACCATAATCTATTCTCATTCTTTGTGCCTTGTGAAATCATATGTTCGTAGGAAGGACCAAAGACGCAGCCAAGAAGTGCAAGACATGACTGTTTTATCGACGGTGGGAGTTCTTGGAATCTTATTGGCTTGTTTGAATGTGAGCACGGCGTGCATGCCTCCTGGGAGTCAAGGTCGGATGAGTCAAGTTGTGAAAGGCAGTTCTTGGCTTCTTCAAAGATCTCGTTATGGCCTGCTCGACCAAAGAATGGCGGCGTAGGAACCGGCGTTTCCATGATCAATTCAGTTTTCAGGCTTTTCGAAACTTAGGTGAGGTTTCTTCCTGTAATCCACAGTTCCGAAGATGGTATTGCATAAGGCTTGGAGTTATCCGCAGACGAAGGAAGATATTTGCGCCCTGATGATGATCTTGGGCTCGATATGGTCGCTCCGTGCTATTTTGACTTAATGGATTAGACATACGATCCACTGTTACTGTTAAGGATTCGATATCATTATTCTCTCCAGATTGGTGATCTGATGTCTATCAAATGCTGACGCGGGGCGAAGTCGGATCCTGCACCACGTCACTTGCATTTACACGCTATATGGACTTATTGAGTTTCGATGCCAAGCCGCTTATCCCTACAACATCGTGAAACCTATTCTACATAAAAACCTTGCAATGCAATATGTCCTTGGCCCTTCTTGATAACTCTAGTCGCATATTTGATCTAGTGGCCTCCGATCCGGATTTCTCATCGATAGTCTTCAATACAACCGCTAATGTCAAAGCATTACTCGACGGAGATCAAACGGTACTGAGGCACCAGTGTTTGTTTCTCTTCAATGACATAGAAATTGACGGATCCGGCCTAGGGTCTTCAGTGTAAGGCAGACATAATTCTAGGTTCGAAATCTCCCAAGCAGGAGATTTAATGACGAACGACAGAAGTCTATATACTCAGGGACAGGGTAGTTGAGGAGGTGAGAGACATTGAGTTGGTGTATCCCTTTTCTCGTAGTCCACTGACAGAAGATATGACTGCGAGGCGAGCGTCTCCACTCAGAAGGGAAGCTATGAAGCCATGATATCTCTAGAGCAGACATAATGTCAATTGAGGGTTCTGGACCAACAGACGCTTTCAGTTAGTCCAGTCGCATGCCTGTCATCAAAGCTGGTCAAAGGAAATTTGACTGGGGACGACAAAATTTATGTTTCATCAGCACCTCCAAGGCAAAAACGTTGAAGTTATTTAGATTATTATGTGTGAGTCTTAGCAATATACTGCCAAGAATTGGATGCAGGCAATGCATCAATGCTAGATCACATCTAGTAACGTCTTTCAATGAGGTTACTTTTTCCTCCTATCGGGTAGGCCTCCATCCTTTATCTGACTTGAGTGTGGCGGTGTGTGGCTTGACCACCCACTTCCCCGGCTGTCGGGTTCCGATGAGCCACGGAAAAACGGAACCTCAACGGCCGGACCAATCTTGAACATTCAATCGTCAACAACGACATCTGCAACTCTCAGCTATAACATCCGCAACGATCCGCCTGGCTCCATGGAAACGTGATGCATGACATTGTATGAGCGTATTCTCATTTCCGATCATCCATTGTCGCGCGCAGCTCCATGTCAGGTCAAGAGACCTCTCCACAGTCTCCCCCCGCCAATACACCTAAGCATCGACGACCCTGGACAGCAGCCGAGGATGCGACTCTGAGGACTCTTGTTGGGCACTTTGGTGCTAGTAGGGGATCTGAGGGTAGGTGGAAGGACATAGCATCTGGCCTGGAGGGCCGGACGGCCAAGGTGAGTCGCTATCTCCGCACGCGCCCCAACGCGATCATTACCCTGCATGATGCACACTCACTGCTAAATGAGACGAGATGAGACAAGACGGGGACTGACTGCCTGTTAGGACTGCCGAAAAAGATGGCTTCACTCATTGGATCCCTCTTTGCGTAAAGGTCGGTGGACATCTCAAGAGGATGAGATCCTCCTCTCAGCTTACGCTCGACTTGGACCGCTTTGGAATGAAATTGGTAAACCCGCCACTTCTGCAATTACCATATAGTCTAACGCACGCTAGCGCTTCTCATTCCTGGGCGAAAGGATGACCAATGTTCCAAGAGATATAATGATATCTTGAACCCATCTGCCAAAAACCGTCTTAGCGACTGGACTGCCGAGGAAGATAACCTTTTACGTCAAGGTGTAGCAGCGTTGGGCCATCGATGGGTCGCCATCTCATCACGGATACCTGGAAGACCTCCCCTCACCTGTCGTAATCGATGGCGCACGCTCTCACGACTGTCACATAACCGACAGAGCAGATCTCAAGGCACTACCCCGTCATCCTCGTCTCAGATGTCCCCATTCGATAATGGGATTTCACCGGCGGCTCATAATCCAAATCTCGGTATTGAGACAAACCATGGAGCGACGACTGACTTGATGCACTTTCCAATGGATGCCGATATGGGTCATGACCAAATGGGATCGAGCTTTCTCGACTCAGCCTTTTTCGACACCTTTACAGGCCCTTCCCCATCGCCATTGAGAGAATCCGACCCAAGTGATGAAACAGAAACGCCGAACGACGTATCTGCCCCAGGTGCTGCCTCAGAAAATACTGCACCTGTTCCTGATCTTTCTTCGAGTATCGCGACCCAGACACAAAGCGACCCCAAACCATGGCCTCAGCCTCCGAAACCGCCCCAAGCGCAGCAACATCAAAATGCTCCGAATGCATCTTTCATGCCATCGCCCTCTACTTGGTCATCACTGGGTACAATGCTGCCACCTGGAACTTCTCCCACGGATCAGAATATGTGGCTAGGAATGACTGGCAACCCTCCAACACCGAAGAACTGGACAGCCCCAGGACCAGCAGACTCATCGAACTCATTGCCCCGGTCATTCACTGAACAGTTTCAAGTACCAGCAGTACCAGGAGTGCCAGCATCAACGCAGCAAACCATTCACCACCATCATCATCACCACGTCCATCATCATTTTCATCATTATCATCACTACCCAGGCAATGGAGATCAATGGCGGCAGCTGGAGCAGCAATCCGAAGCCGAGGCGATGCAAGCACATTTACAAAACGAGAACGGGTCTCAAAACCCAGGGTGATGCGCTCAGCCTAACAGATCCCACTTCGCCAAGTCACGTTAGCACGTTGGCCTGGATAAGCCGCCCAATCACCCGGATAAGACACAATGACCGGGGTACAATGTTATGCAGATAACCCTACCCCAAATCGACACCGACTTCCATTCTGCCAGCCACTTTCTGTCATGTCTTTGCGTTGCTCTGTGTCGCCAAGCAAGATGCAGGCCGACACTAACAACGAAGCAGCGCTCGATATTGTCCCCCGTAAGATACCGCTGTTCTGTGCCCCAACATACCGACCTCTCGACCTCGCGAAACGCCAGATACGGATACTGCACATTTTGCCAGGTCAGCGTGGTGAGCCTGTTCGCTGCACCCTCCATACCGCATCTCTTGACGATAGCCCGAGTTATGAGGCGTTATCCTACTCTTGGGGTGATCCGCATATATGTCACATCATAGAAGTTGATGGTCAACAAGCTACAGTCACCGAAAATCTGTATAATGCACTCCGGAGGTTGCGATTCGTTGACCGAACGAGGCATATTTGGGCAGATGCGCTTTGTATCAACCAAGCGGATACGACTGAAAGGACCCATCAAGTCAGATTGATGAGAAACATTTACTCATCCACCATAGAAGGGATATTGTGGCTTGGGGAATTCTCCAGCACCAGCGACACCGGCACGAACTCAGTTTCACAACAGACTGTTGCAACGGCATTCAAATTGATCAGATCACTGGCTGAAGACCATCACTGGAACTCTCAAGAGCATGCACAGTCGATGGCAAGAGAAGAAGCAGATGCCCTCTCTGCTCTGCTGGATCTTTCGTGGTGGCAGCGAGCCTGGACTGTGAAGAAGCGGTTCTCCCGAAGAAAGCAACTCTGTCCTGCGGAGCAATGCAACTACGGCTATCGGAAGTCAAGCGTGCGCATCTCACGTCCGTAAGTCATGATCGGAAGGGATGCTGCATCACAAATCCTGATTGTCACGACGTTCTCTACAAGTTCTGGGACTGTATCGAAGGGTTTCGCCTTCTACAGGAAGAGTCCGATAGAAATATCTTGGTGAGGATGGCTTTGGAAATGTTTAGGTTTCGCCATGCATCTGATCGGAGAGATTGCGTATATGCATACTTGAGCCTAGGGAGCAAGGCCTTGGCTGACTATACTATCCCTCATGAGATGGCGTTCAAATACGTTGTGCGTTCGCTTATTTAAGAGTCAAATAATCTTGGACCTTTAATTCGCATTGCGGAGCATGCTGAAACACGCTCAGCGACTTTGCCTTCTTGGTGTTCCGACTATGGATCGTCTTTTCCGGAGACCTACGAGAACTTGGACCAAGAGTTTGGGTGGCTTTACATGTATAATTGGTACCAAGCTGGGGGTAGGGACGGGCCAACTAGTAGGTTTTCACTTATCGTTTCGAGACTTGAGCTGCGAGGCATTGTCATTGATAAGATCACGAAAGTCGACGGGCCGATTTATAACCTCGATACAAAGGACGATGTTCTCACTGCCTGGCATCATGATCGAGATCCTCGCATCTGCTGCCAAGGATCATACGAGGAAGGCGGATGGTGCGAACTCATGCGTGATATCTTCATTGTTTTCTCCAACAAGCCTCGAGATTACAGTAAGCCTCGCACGAGAGCTGGTTTCGAGGCAATGATTAATTCCCTTTGGGATCCCAGATCTCAACTCTCTGTTTCACAATATCAGACCTGTCATACGGAAACGGGGTTGGTTAGCCATGCGAGAGTAGATATGCAGGCGGGAGATGTTCTATGTGTTTTGCTTGGGGGAAATATGCCATTTATACTAAGACCACTTGATGATGGAGTTTTTGGTTATGTTGGGCAGGCGTTTGTTCCTGGGATCATGGATGGGGAAGCCCTTCAACAGGGACGTGAGTTGGAGTGGATCACACTTGTATGAGGGAGCTTTGAAGTCGAAGCCATACTGATGTTAGTGATTTCTACTGATTAGTGGTAGATCTCATCTATTTCAACATGATAGTTCGCATATGAACAAAATGACACAAAATCAGTCTTGTGACCGTCTGATCGTGAAGAGAATGGAAAGTTCTTTTTTCGAATTGGCTGTAGTGGTGAGCGTATCGCTTCTACCACTTTCCCCTTTCTCATTGACCGAAAAGTTCCCTCTTACCGGGGAGCGAAAAGAAGACCCTGAAACAAGAGTAGCCAAGAAAAGTTAATCTTGCATCAAGCGGAGCCAACTGGTGAGACGTGCTGCCTTGTTTCGGCCTTTGCTTTGTCTCCCCGGTCCTCGCCTCCATTTCTCTCTGCCGAGCGGTAAGTGATGTAAGCATGCGGCGTTTTGAAACAAAGACCTGGCTCACCGCTTTGCTGAGTATGTATCCCGTTAAAGGGTTAAATACTTGAGAGTTCGAATGGCTCGCAATTGTATTGTGTCGATATCCAGTTCATAGAGGATCAACAAAGTTTGTCTAGTGAGAGAGAACAAAGTATCGTAAAGTTTGAACTGAAGGCTGTACTATTCGTAGAGGGACGTGGACAGATCCCATCTGCGACATCTACATGAATTATGACCGGGCTAAGCTGCAGTCGGCTCTGAATGGGTATATACCCTCTCCACAAGGATAAGCGAGATCTGAATCAAGATCTGCTGGCTTTCAGTGCCATTCGATATCATTCTGCAAGTTCCAGTGGCACATTCCTATGAATTACTCATCAAGGAATATCCCCCCAGTGGATGCTGTAGGTTCCAGATGAGATTACGACCTCGATCAAGGGTCTCTTTGTCTTAGCTGTGCGTCGATCAAGGTTGATGATACTCTGTTTTCGTAGAGTTGCAGACCGCTCTTGAGGAGAAGATAGGAGGCACATGCGAATATTTCATGCTGTGAGTGGATAATAGCCAGTAACGGTGAGTGTAGCACGGCTCATAGATGTTGCAAAGTTCAATAGTTGAAGTTAGAAGAGAATATTTGATTGTGGAGGTAGATATGGAATGATGATCTGCGACCATAATATTACATGGCTCAGCCCGTGTCTACCCCATCATTTTCGGTAAGATATATACTCCGCAATTTGTGTCTTCAAGTCAATGACAATCCAGTTTCCGTCTTGGAATTGACCTATAATGAGCGGTCCTGCAAGCCACGACAGCCACCCCCCGGTAACGACGCGGCCTGTCCGGCAGATGTCCCCGCTTGTAGGCCTCATCGAGACCCTCAGCCAGCCTATATTACCGTTTCGGTCCATCTGCAGCACGCGATTGCAGTGCAATTGTAGGCGGCGCATTTAGTGTAGCTGTTCCGTGTTTGTTGACGCTGAGGAGCGCAATCATAAACAGTTGGCCCTAACTATGGAACGCTTCGGCCCGCAGCGATCCGTAAGGGCTAACTAACATAGCTTGTCGTGACGAAACTCCGAGACACGGGCTGGCGCGAGGGGGGATAAAACATGCAGACCGATTGACCTCCCGAATACGATCGGTCCTTCGAGATAACAGTTTCCCTGAGCTGTATCAGAATCTCACTCAGACATGCTTCCTTTTTGAAATGTATGACTGGCTGTTAACTGCTGCTACTGGAGGAACATAGAGACAACCATCTCTGAGAAGCATTTCTGTGGCGTAGCTGACCACTGAGCTAACGCTGTCATAAACAAGGGTTCAACTCAGCTGCAGCCCAGGTGCAAATCTTCTCCTATTACACCGACCATGTCTTGCCAATGAGGGGTTTAACCTGCAGCATTGACCGCTTGCTAAGCCGTAACTCGAAACTAGCAAAATCATGCAGAAAATGGTCGCTGTATGTGACGACAATTGGCTAGGGAGGGGATATCAGCTTGCAACATACTTTGAGCGTGCATTCCAATAGAAGAGTATGTTCACGATCAGCAATGTGGTGTCTTGTACATGAGAATAAGGAGAGAATAGAAGCATGTGGTATGAGATGGAAGAGAGTGAGAAGATGTATAAAAAGATCAACCTGCACCTCGAGACGATACTTCTCCTTCACTTCATCACTCACTCACTTCACCACACAACACAATAGCCTTTCAACCCAATAACATCTATTCAAAATGTTTGTCTACCAAGGAAAGATGAACTGGTGGACGTACGCCAAGGACGAGACCTTCGTCGTCATCCTCCCCAACGGCCCAGTCCGCGTCGGCGACAGCGTCTATCTCTTCTGGAAGTGGACAGTCGACGCCAAAGGCGTCAAGAACGGAAACGTCTTCCAGACCATCAGCGTCGACTCGGTCACACAGACCAGTGCTACTGATGTGACCTTTGTCCTCAAGGGCTCATGGTACAACTTCACCGTCACCACAAAGGGCGGGTATGAGAACATCAGCATCGTCATGAGAAACCCCCAGGGCGGTGTCAGCGACCCCATGCCCCTCAAGCGTGAGTGGAAGTCTGACAAGGAGCTCACTGGCACGACTCGCATTTGGACTGGAAAGTTCAAGTGGATGAGCTTTGCGCGGGATGAGCATGCCATCTTCATTGTTCCTGATGGCTTTGGTGAGGGCAAGCCTATCATCTCGACTTGGCAGTGGACCAAGGCTTCCAACGGCAAGACGAAGGAGCCGTCATTCCGTGCTGAGACCCAGAAGAATGTCACTGGGCTTGGAACTGATACTGTCAAGTTCTCGTACAAGTCTTACTATGATATCAAGTGCACTTGGGACGGTAAGAAGGATCAGCTTGATGTTTGGGTAACAGAAGGTGCCCATAGCGAGGATGTTGGTGACATGATCCGCTCTGCCATCATTGAGCGTTCAACCCACTCTCAGTAAGTTGGCCACTCGGCGTATGGTAGCTTTGCTAACTTGCAACAGTGACTTTAACCCTCCTTTCCCTGCTCCCACCAAGAGCGAGTGCGATCACTATCTCCCCCAGCCCCAGGCTTCTCTCCCTCGCCTCGTGTGTCCTCTCCCATTCCCCAAGGACCTTCTTGAGACTCTCGCACACACTGCTGCATACGTTGACCAGTGCGGTTACCTAGCCAAGTATGCTCAAGATGTACGTTTGACTCTTTTCTCCATCTTCCGACGCAGGCTCATATTTCTTAGCGCTTCGCCGCCCTCGATGCCGATTACCACTTCTCCCTTGAGCAGATCAAGGCTCTCAAGATTGAGATCGAGAACATCAACAAGACCAAGGGTGAACTCACTACTGACCGTGACGCCGCCATCGCCAAGGCTCAGAAGCTCCAGGAGGCTCTCGACAAGGCCCTCAAGGACAGTGAAGGTTACCAGAATGAGATCGCCAGACTCAACAAGGTCATCTCTGACGACAAGCTCAAGGACGCCGAGGCTCTCAAGCTCCTTGAGAAGACTCGCGCTGAGCTCAAGGCCTCTCAAGAGCAGTGCTCCAAGTTCCAGGCTGAGATCGCCCAAAAGGATGCTCAGATCGCTGAGCAGGGCGCCACTATCAGCAACCTCCAGAAGATCATCATCACTCTTGAGACTACCCTCGCCCAGCTCCGCGCTGAGATCACAGTCAAAACCACCGAGAACGAGAAGCTCGCCCAGGCTAACATCACCCTCGAGGGCCAGAAGCGTGACCTCGAGGGCTCCGTTAAGGACCTTCAGGATGAGCTCGCCCGCGCTCAACAAAGGATCAAGGACCTACAGGAGACTGCCAAGAGTCACGCGGCCAAGGACAAGGAGATCCGTGATGCCAAGGCTCGTGCTGATACTGAGGCCGCCAAATCAGAGGAGGAGGCTGCCAAGGCTTTGGCTGAGGTTGAGAAGTACAAGCAGTGGGCTTTCGATAACAAGGTTAAGATCGATCTCACCAACTACTGATGCCAGGGATTCCTGCCGCTGCACTTGGTTCCGGTGGGGCTCTCATGTCATAAGATGTTGAGATATTGTTGGGTTGTAGGCGCCATCTGCTTAGCGGCCTGGGAGCTAAAGCGGAGATAGGGCGTGGAGAGGACAGCTT